TTCCAGTCGCAAAGTAGGTGTCCTTCAATCTTTCTATTGTCTGCGTCTACATTTGACGCTTTTTAAGGGTCAACTTTTCGTAAACTTTCCGATACCGCAGACGCGTAAAGTCGGTAGAGTCCAGGAATAATCAAGATGCTTTTACGCATGAGGAAGTGGCTTCAGAAAGCGGACTGTGTTCTCCGCGGACTCTCCCAGTTACAGCTCGGTGGGCACATTTCCTTCTTGGAGCGCATTCCCTGCTGTTACCGAGTAAGTTGACACAACGTTTCTTCTGTTTCAGGCTGCAGGATGCAGACGGGACTGACACTTCTCCTGCAGGTTTGCAACAGATGAGGCAAAGGGGGGAAAAAAAAACCCACCGCGATCTCTCCTGGGTCTTTTTTTTCTCTCCTCCCATCTCCTCAGCTTTCACAGGAGCTCTGTGATTGGCTTCATCCCTGCGACGGAAGTGACGAAATTATTATGTTTAAATAATATAAGTAAATATTTACACAAAAATATAACATTTATTATCTTTATATTAGCACACAATACAGATCTAACGTGTTTTCTATATTACTGAAATCCCTCTTTTATTTGATTTGCATTTAATAATGTCTATTTACCTGAAGAATTAGTGCACCTATTTAATATTTACGTTTGAAAATGAAGGAAACAACATGAAATGAGTTTATTTATTTATATAGATATTAATGCTCATATTAAATACATTTTTAAAAATCCTGAGGAAAAACTCACAAGATGTTTGTACACAGTGTGAAGCTGTAGCTCTGCTGCTGTCTTCGAAAACGGGTTGAGAGAAACATATACATTATTAGCTGACCCCTTTAGTAGTTTAGCTTACTATAGGACTTTGTTTCACATTGGCTTGCCAAAAATACCTCTTGAAAGTATACGACCAGGGGGGTCTGACCTACTCTAAACAATATTTATGAAGACAAAAACCAACAGTTACAACATTGTAGTGTTTAAAATTGTCAGCTAATATAATAATATTTTGCCTACATTGATGACAGTAATGTGAACATAAGAATTAAGCTTCAGAGAGCTATACATTACTGCTACATTGTAAACGTCAATACATCCCAGTGAGTTTTTCAGGCTTATAAAAATGTGTTCAAGATTATGCTTAATAAATCTTCACAATCATACTAGCCTGCCATAGCTTATTTAACAACATTTAAATAACACTGAATATTGTTCTTTTCCAAAGACATGGCAAGTTTATTTTTTAAAAAGTTATATCAGTTCATACTCATTTGGCCAAACTGTACACACTCTTAGTAAATTTAAGAAACACGACACCATTTAACATCTTGTAAAAATTACTTTTAATTCAAATTTTTAAATAAATGTTAAGGATTTGCATAATAGTCTACATTTCTTTAATGTTTTAAGTTTATTATTTAAGTCACTTTCATGATTAAAGTTGTCAAGACATTTTTTGTCATGATTTTACTATAAACATGTAGAATTGTCATAGTACCGTCTACCCCCACCCCCCTCAACAGAACAGTCGATACTGTGGAACACAAATCTGCAAAAAGATTTGAAGAGAAATCAACAAGATTTGTGGACGCCACCATTACTTTAATGACTTTTTTTTTTTTAAATTCACATCAGTATTGCTCTCGTTAATAAACTGCTTTAATATATTGGAATGAGAAATAAATAATTCAAAAACTCTAACCACAAAACAATGTTTTGGTTCTATTTTCATGAATTTCTTTTACATATAAAACAGTTGTAATAAAACATCTCAGTAATGTATCATAAGTCAGTGATTTGGTATAACAGTTTAATAATTGTTTTTTAATCTACTCCTTTAATCATAAAGACTGGGTCAATAGCTGTAGTGGTTTCTGTCAGTGCTTTGGGGGATGGGATCATTTAGTCAAGTATTACCTGAGTAGATTTAATTTAATTTTACTTGACACTATACTCCTCAGTTTTTCTGCTACACGTTGTACCTTTTACTTTACTACAGTCATTTTATAGTTTTATAAACGTGTTGCTTTGCTAGTCCAGGTATAGTTTTTTTCGTAATCAAAAAATGTGTTATTACTTCATTTCCCAGCATCACATTTAGTAGCTAAAATGAACTTTCCTTCTGCCACAAGGAAATGATACATACATTAATAAACCAATTATTTTGTATCACAATAATATCTGAATGCAACATATACTGAGAAAATGTTATTCAATAAATTATACTTTTGATTTATTCTGGTTCTATTAAAGCTGAATTTTGAATGTTTGGATGCAGGACTTTAAGGTGTATCAAAGTTTTAAAACTTGGTGATTTTACTTAATTAAAAAATTTTGTTCATATTTATAGAGCTTAAAATTACGATGCATCGTACGTTGCATTTAAACTAAAGCGCATATTCCCACAACATTGTGAATGAATGAATCTAAAAAACTGTACCAGAGTCTTTGGATAAAACCATTAAATTAAGCCCTGTGTCATTTATCCATTTTACAGCCCTACAGAGGTTGTTACATGTAGCTGTGATCAGTTGTTATCAGAGAGAAAAGAGAGCATCTGAATCAAACAAGAAGCTCTGAAGAAGAAGAACATGTTTGATCTCAGCCATTCAAAAGATTAGAAAACCAACGCAGGCTAAATGACACACCTTGTAAATTGTAGTGAATGCATGGCAGGGGGCCTGCAGACTTCAGAGGAAAACAAATGGAGAGATCTCTCAGACACAATTCTACTTACACTTCAAAGCGAAAGAGGAGGGATGAGAGGAGACAGAGAGGACGCTGCTGCTCTGATAAAAGTGGGAGCTGTATTTCAGTCATGTGGAAACCTCTTTCATTTAGCCTAACACACAGAGAGATAAACACAGAGAGATTCTTTATTGTAATTAAGTAATTAAAATAGTATAGTTAGAGTGTAATCAACACTGTAAAATTGTGAAATTTGCCAAGAGATTTTTGTAACTGTTGTCATAAATGTGATTAATTAATTTGATAAGATCTTCATTTTTTTTTAAATAAACTTATTTGATATTTGCTGAAATGCACTGCAAAAGTAGCGTAAAAGTTTTGTTACTCATATAGGTATTAAAATATCTTACTTCAGCATGCTGAATGCAAACCAAAACTGTAACATACTGTAATTGTAGTTCAGCAACCTGGCTCATTATTGATAACATTTAAAAAAAAAAAAAAAAAAAAAAAAACGTATTTCTTGAAAATCATTGTTGTAATCCTACATAACTGGTGTGCTCCCCCCTCCACCCCACCCCCACCTATTTAAAGTCTACAAGCTGGAAACTTACTTGGAAGAGACAGATGTTTTCAATGCAAATATAACAAACGTCAAATAAGTTATTTTAAAAAAAGCAGTCAAACACATTAACAATCCTTGTCACTTCTTGAAGTATCCTTTTCTTTACCGCCTGGCTGCATAAGGCAAAGACAAACGTGTGTTGATAAAAACAGCTGAGAAACAAAGAGAGACATGATTGGCTAGGAGAAATGAACCAGAGGAGGAGAGTCAGGAGGAGGCCTGAGGTTGTTGACGGAGGCCTTTTTTAAAGGGTGTTGTGGTTCTTGGCAGCAACAACTTGAACAACACTTCAAATTGAAGCATTTCATGACATCCATCGCCTCAGCCTGCCCTCAGGACCTGAGAGGTCAGAGGGGGAAGAGGCTCCCAATAAACGTGAGTGAGGTGTCAACCCCTCCCACCATTGTCAGAGGAGCCACATCAGAGGGTAAGCATCCCTCCTCACCCTTCTTCACCACTTCCCTTATTCACTGTCCTGTGGTTTTTGTTTGACTGGGGGTCTACAGGTCGGTTTTATCACCCGCTGCACCCCTTCTGAATTGTTCCCCTGGAGGTGTTTATGGGGAGGCCGACAGGATGTTCGGCCCACCAGAAGATCAAAGTCTCCTCTTCATGTTAAATGTGCCGTCGCTCAGTGTGACCTTTTCAACTCGGACAGAGTTAACATCACAGACGCATGCGAGGCTGGGATTACAGCAGAAGAGCTGGAAGATCTGCATTACGGCAGCGGATCAGTTTCCTTCCTGCTGTTGTTCACACACAAGTATCACGGCTCATTTTTCAGTAATGTGGGATCTTCCACGAAAACTGTCTGTGCCTCACAGAGATGAGGACTCCTAGATTTAAATTTGGAGTAACAACATTATCAGACATTTTCAAGACTCTGACTGCCACTTTAGATACAAAAGAGTGGAAAAAGGAGCTCATAACAATCAAAGTTATTTTTAAGTTATAAGGTGAAGAGACTGCCTCCTTTTTGAAAAGATTTTGGGTATTTTTTTTAACATCTTTGAAGAACAACAAAGGCTAAGAAATAGACATAACAGAATAAAATAGGAAAACGTCTAAATTTAAGTAATTGTTTGAGTTCATTTGACACTTTTTGTCTCACTTTGAATGCAATTCAGGACATCTGATCTGACCAACAAAATATATTTATAATATATTCACATTGACTTAAACCTATTTGAGATGGACTGATTGTCCCATAAATCTTTTTATCTCCATTTAACGCCATGCTGGATCTGAGTGTTGATGTAAAACAGAGCAGTGTTAGACAGAACTGACAGTATGCACAATAGCATAGTAGACAATCTACTGTGTGTTGCTGTTGATGAAAATAAAAAAATCTAACACTTTCAGACTATCCAAAAGTCTTGATCAGGAAGAAAAATAATAGATGTACATATTTTGTGATTTTTTTCACTACTTCAACAATTGAACTCTAGTATCCATCATATGTCTCTTCACTTAGTTTTTCTGAGCATCACTTCCAAAATGAATTTATGCTTGTGTACTTTAATGGGTATTGAATTCTTTCAAATTCTTCCCTTTGTCTCTCCTTCTCTTCTACTACCATGACACTGCATTACAACTGCTTTCTAACCGCAGGAAAAAGAAGCAAGCAGGAAGTGAATTCCTCTGAAGCTCCCTCACAGACTCTCAGCTCTCATGTTCCACAGTCATCAGATGTTTGTTTGTTGTTTTCAGCTCTTTATATACAGTAAAACCCCCAGTACAGAGAAGTGTGTGCATCCAGCCAGCAGTTTTACTGAGTTCATTCACAACATCTTATCCACTTTCTGAGTCATGTTAGAGTAGTGGGGTGCGTTTACATTTGATCAAAACAAGACATGTTGTGATGTTACACAGACACAGATGATTGGAATTCAGTGTTTATACATGGCTCAAGACACAAGCTAAAAAAGGCACTTTTTAGATCAAATAAAACAGTGATAAAGTCATGAGTTCAGACACTTTGTAATGTCCTTTCCTCTACTGTTTGTAGGCTTTAGAGGACTCTCCTCTTGAAGTGAATATATTTCACATACTTAACCATTAAAGCACTTATTGCTTTAATTGTAACAGGTTTTTATCGCTTAGAGCCTGAAGGACAGCAGAGATATAGTAATGGGGCGCTTGTTTCACTAGTGATCAGTTTACTCAACGTCTTTCTTTACAGTCAACCCTCTTGTGGTGGTTAGCAGTATTGCAATGTGAAAATCTCGAGCAACATTTACAACATTTTTCAAGTGTCCAGGAGTTTTTTGTTTTTTTTAAGAAGGTGCCATCGCCAATCAATGGCTTTGAGACATTCCACAGCGCAGGGATCACAGCTGTTCCTCTGACAAGAAAAGAAAGAGAGTCCGCAGAGTTCACAGAGTTACTTTTCTCTCCGTGTCTCATGAGTCACATCCCTGAAATATGACTCACAAAGCAAAACAAGGCCACTCTTTGGAATGATGCTGATTAAAAACAGTGCATGAGTCTATTCACAATAAAATATCATATCACTTTAGGATAAAGAAAGTGCTCAGTGTCTGGTTTCTCTCTCAGACGGATCAGTTTGCTGAGGCAGACAGTTCGTCTCCCAGCATGTAGAGGATGGAAAGAAGGGTGCGTTGAGTCTGGGGTGCATCTTGCAGCAGGTATGCGTCCTTAAAGGTCCTCAATCGTTGTTCGTCTCATTTCCCAGCATTCTCAGTGGGATGATATTCAGTTTCACCTGCCGACACCTGAGAGATGCGACGTGTGCTGAACAGGCGCCGTGGGAATTGTCCTGTGTGAACCTGAGAACATGAGAGAAAACGTTAATCTTCCCTCCAGGGCTAAAACAGAGACATGAGACGAAAGTCGCTCCATTATCATCTGAAAAACCTGGTTTGTTAGCAAGTACTTAGCATATGATTACTATCCCCTCTCCTCCTCCTCCTCCTCCTCCTCCTCACACACATAAACATGCAGCAGCTCAACACTCCCGCATATCATAAACACTTGATCTGCTTCTCACCTCCTCCGGCTTCCCTGCCCCCACCACGATTAACTTCCCGTCCTCCAGTCCCACCAGGATGTGGCTGAACTCTTTGGTGACGGACACACTCCTCACGGGGACCATTAAGGCTAGAGGTGGTACTGGAGCATCCAGGCTAACGAACACAAGGGAGTAAGACCAGGAGAATTAGAGTTTTAGACTCAAAGTTTTGAATGAATGCTGCAAATTGGTAGAAAAATCTAACTGTGTTATCATTTCTCTACCTGCATAAATCTCGTATGTGAAGGCTGCCCTCCATTGTCCCCAGGATGATGTACTCAGACACTAGGTGGATAGCAGTCACCTGCTCCTCCATACTGGAGGAGGACAGCAGACAGCCGTTCACTGAGTAAACATGAATGGAGTACTTGCCCTGTAGGAAGAAGCATAATTAGAGTATTCAGAATAAACATGCTGAGAAACTAGTGTAAGCTTTTGTTTCTGCCTTTGTTTATGCACTGAACGATATATATTAACGTACCCGTCTGTGAGAGCGTTCCTCCAGCGAGGTCTGAACCACAATGTGCCCCTCCATGCCCACCTGCAGCTCAGAGATCTGTGCAGGCACACAGCTGTCACCAGGAGGCCGCAGTGTTCGCAGGAACTGGCCTCGTCTGACAGTGTGTACGATCACAGTCCCGTCCTGACACACAGAAAAACAGCAAGAGTGTTAAGATGCATCTCCACCTAGCCTTTTCTGTCTTGATGAATCCAAACTTTATATTTCTTTGTCTTCAAATGAAAACCAGGCATTTTAAACAAAAGCAATATGGACTCATAAGCAGCTGTTTTTGTAACCTTTCCTGCTTTTTGGCAGCCAAATTAGAGAAATATAAAGCTCCTCAAGCCGCAGCTAGTCATAATAGTTTTTACTGTGCCATGACTCGTCTCTAATTTCAATACCATTTAGAAGGAAATCAACAAAGAAATAGTTCAAAGAAGAGTCATCCAAGACTGAGGTTTGCCTTTGCTTAATGTTGTTACACTAAGCTTCCCAGCCAAGAACAGCCGCTGGCTATAAGAAGCTAACATCTGTCTCTGATGCCTATAAAGTCAGTATGTTCTGTGCTTGTTTCCTGTAGTTTGTACGGATCAAGTTCTTTCTGCTAATGATCCACATCACAGTTTGCCTGGAGACCGTCCAAGCAGTACTTTTTCAGACATATTGTGTTTATTGAAACAACATACTTAACACCATCACAAACCTTCAGAACTCAAACAGTATAAAAGAGAAAATAAAAGCCTTCTTATATAAAAGCTTTTAAAGGTTACTACAGAGCAAAACATTTTCTTTTCTTCTAACAAATATATTTTGCCCTTGGATTGGTGGTCAGATGAAAGGAAGCTTGATTCATCAGTTATTCTAATAAATAAGAAAACAATAATTCTGTTTCAGCCCTACATTTTACATTGTTAGAAAAATATGTTTCTATTGTTCTATTGTAGGTATTACTATTTAACTGGGTTTCAGCATTTCTTTCATGTATTCACTTGTGCTTACTTGTTAATTCTACATATGTACACATATACATATATATATATACATATATATACACATATATATATATATATATATATATATACACTATTGTGTGAATTCTTATGATGTCATTTATTTTAATAAAGATGATTTAAGTTTACTTCTGTCTTTTTTGGCAGATATCATCGGGGATGATGGAGGAAATCAACATATTTATTGAAGTTCTTTTTTGCCTGAATGCGGTTGTTTCATGTCAATAATGAAAAGGGGATTCCTGGGAGGTGATCTGAAGGAAAAGGTATTTTTTACCAGTAGTTTCATTGTTTTCTCTCTGTTGTTGTTGATTTTGTGTACTTCCCTTTTTAAACCATATATACTGCCATTGCTTAATATGCCCTGGGTTTGAGTTGGTTGTAGGAAAATTAGTGATTTTGGGGACAAGAATCTTTTTTAATACACGTTTCTGTGGTTGCTTTGTGTCCCTTTTGCGGCTGTGTGGGTCCTTCCCTGTTCATGTTATGTGATTTTGCTGACCTTTGACCCTGAGACAGCCATGTCCAGTTCTGTGCTGATGGCCACACAGGTGACCTCCTGGTCATGCCCACAGAGAACCTGCACCGGCCGAGGAGACAGGCTACTGGAGAAGCCACCCTGAGGGACAAAAAGAAAACAGGATCAATGGGTGGCACCATAACATAAATGACAGCTTAAAAAAAGGTGAGCACAACAGACGAAGAGATCTGATGATGTGTACCTGCTGTAGAACCTGCCACACAATACAGGATGTGTCCCTTGAACCAGAGATGAGGTAGATGCCACAGAGATCCAACGCCAAGCACGTAACAACGTCTAAATGAAACACAGAAATATAAAAATTCATATGAAACATCGAAAGAAGGCATATATACTTTTATTTTTTTTTAAAAGACATAAATAAGAGCTAACCAATGTGACGGCAGATCCTGCCCACCAGCTTGCCCTTCCCCAGTTGGGTGACACGCAGACTACAGTCCCAGTGTCCTCCACTGAACAGCAGACGGCCGTCGTTGGAAACCACCAGAACCTGAGCACTGATCTCCATCCCCTGAGCGAAAGGCCCTCTCAAGAAACGCTGCGTCCTGTGAGAAAAAGTATGAGTGAGCTCTGGCCTAAATGCATAGGAAATGTATGATCTGCACATTAAACTGTCAGAACATCTGTAAATTACAACCAACATGAAACCCAGAATTCAAAGGGTTCTAATCTTGATTTATTTTGTGTTTATGGGATCCACACTTAAGGCCAGTGACATATGAGATCCATTAAAAGAGAATTCTGCTAATTAAACAGACTTTGAAGCCTCACAAAGGGTTGTTAGACAGATGTTCTGCTCTCATTCAGCTGGAGGGAAAGTGTATTCATCTTTTGAAATAGCAAAACGTTTAAGGGAGAGTAAGTATTGATTACAGTAAAAAAAAAAAAAAAAGTTATTTCACATGTTTATTTTTCTTGAAGGCACTCACTTGGGATTGGCTATTGTTGGATCCTTGGTGAAGGTGAAGTAGTTGGCGATGTTTTTGTCGTATGGTAGCCAGCTGTGTGTCCCGATCAACCCGTTTGAACTCACAGTCACCTTCATAAGAAAAAACTTCCATGATTCCAAAATGCAAACATGGGTTATCTAACACAAAACCCTCTTTGCTATTATGACCATATGTTGTTTGTATTTGGCACTTGTGAAGAACCATACCAGTATGTCTGAACCCTGGATGATGAAGGAGCGGTTCTGGCTCTTTGGTACCACCGCCTGGACCAGAGGGAGTCCATCACTTACAACCTGAGATACAAAAACACATATGACATTCATACAAAGCGAAACAGTGTCCGTTTTTATTTTTTCAAGGAATAACAAGATCATGACTAAGATGTGTCTTCAAACCCACCTCCACAAAAGGTCGGAGTTTTGTGAGCTGCTCAAAGATATTGGGGGGCAAAGTGTCCAGACGGGCCTGCCGCCTTGTTGCGTTATTAGCTGTCATCCGAGGGGGATGAGGTTCCTGGAGGAAGATAGGAATGTGATAAGCAGAACTTCAAATCAATTCTTTGATAATCAAGGATATTATTATATCCCTCTGGATCACGCTACAGTAAATCACATCTATGGTATGGAAGGGATTATTTTTGTTCATTGAGTTCCGGACCAAGTCTGTCAAATATAATATATAAGGCTGAGATGGATTTTGTAGATCCAACAAATAACCCTGTCATGATGTCATATCTTACCAAACCTCATTAATATTGTTTTATTTTCGCTCTAGTCTCTCCCTGACATCTTCTGCAAACACGTTATCGTTTCCAAAATGTATTTAGTCCTAAACCTTGTAATAGTGTGTTTTTATCAAGCAGAAGACTACCAGGCAGTATTCTTCGCATTCTCAGGACCTCTTCATGCTCTCTGTCCCAAACACTCGGACAGAAATTGGGGAAAGGGTTTTTGCGTGTATTCTGCACCCTCAACCTTGAATCTGTTGCAGAATGACTTGAAACTAAAGGAGCTGGTGTCCTTAAATGTTTTAAAATCTAAAATGAAAGACGTATAAGCAGATTCTATAGGATGTAGATGTTTTTAGCTCAACTGTTAAACTACTATTCCCAGATGGTTCTCTTTTAATGCAATTTTTTGTGTTTTTTAAATTGCACTTTGTCTCCCTTTGTTACTCTGTCCTTTAACTTTGTGTTTTTGCTGCTGATTGTCTTTGTCAGGTCTCCCTTGGAAAAGAGGTTCTTAATCTCAATGGGACAAACCTGAGTAAATAAAGGTTAAGAAGAAGAGGAATCTGAGGAAGGCAGAGGAAGTTAATCTGTTTTGTGTCATTGAATGCTTTGTGATATAAACTTATGTCCAGAAATAAGATTTTGCTTCAGTTTGTTCCAGGAGTTTTACCTTGAGGAGCTGGCAGGGAGTCTGTCCAAAGTTGCTGATGATCCCTTCCAGAGCTTTGCGTTCTGTCTCATTTATAATCGCATCCAGATCCACGGCACCTGCAGAGGAGCAAAAGGATAAGCTTGAGTGAGTCTCAACAAAAACAGAAACAATCGCTGTTAACAGCTAGAGAGGACATGAGGAGCAAAAGAAAATACAGAACATTAATTGGTCACGTCTATCATGATTTAAACAGTGTTCACTTTTGCCTTACCCTCATAAGTGCAGTAATAGAAGACATTGAGAGCGTTCACAGCCTCCTCTCCTCTCTGCTTGTAACCAAAGATCAGGTCGATCCACTCGTGGAGGTGATTTGACACATGATCACATTCCTGTTGTTCAAGTTGTAGGTTGTTGTTTTTTTTAAAAAGGTTGTCTTAATATAACAGATAGTGCATGATTTATTGTCTGTTTGTGCGGACTCACCAGGGCTTTCCTGTGTTTCTTGATGAAGTCTTCTCTTGATGTTGCCCAGGCAGGCAGCAGAACATCTGCCACCGACTCCTGAGACATCTGCAAATGTCCCAGGTCAAAGCCTACAACAGTGGCAGCAGTAGTACATTAGCTTACTTTCTTAGATAATATATGTTCATCAACAACATATATATTCAAATCTGACTTGTTTTAACGCTCAATTTCCCTCACCGTTCATGTTCTGCAGGAACTCAGGGAGGTAAAAGAACTCCGGGACGAGCTCTTTGACGTCAGCAGGACTCTCCATGCGAGCCTGCCAGGCCGCTGCTACAGAGTGGAACTGTCTGTCTGCACAGTCGAACCTAAATGACCACATCAAGAACCAATATGAGACCCCGAAATAGCAGGACATTTTTTGATGAAGTTTTGAGAACCAGTCAGCACTCCCACCTGCCACTCTGCAGCTGAACATGTAGAGTTGTGAAGGGCTCCATGCGGATCATGTAGTGCATGACTCCTGCTGCATTAGAGTAATGAGTGCCATAGTGGAATTTGTCAATGGTGCCTGTTGAGTCTTCAAAGCTTTCATACCTATCAGAAAAGTGAATATTGGTTAGAGCAATAGACTGTGTGTGGTATTGTCAGGGATTAACGCTGGGTTTTTGACACATGTCTGATATAACATGACTATAGGCTATAGGCTAGGCTAAGTATAAAAATGAATCATTAATTTTTCAGCTTCCTCTAAATTCATAAGCAACTAAAAGTAAAATTGAAGAGTGAAAATCCAGCGGTTTCAGTTAACTGGCTTTAACGATCAGCCATATCTTCAGACAACAGCTAGCATTAGCATTTAGCTACAACACTTAGCTTGAAAGTGGCTAGAAGCTAATACTACTATCTGTTAGTGACACAGGAATCAATAATAAGTCTTTAAATTCTTAGCTAACATAATACTAGTGAAAAATTCCTAACCCAATGTTATACAGGTAGTGGCTGTATGCTAACGTTAGTTGTTGTCTAACAGGTTTATGTCATGGTTTATCAAATATATCTTTGTCTTTTTATTATGTAAGATGTCACACAGTTTCACTCCTTTAAATTTTAGAATGTATCACTTCATTTCTTTTCCATTCATCAGCAACCACAAATGCAATTAAGAGTGAAAATCCATCACACAAAACCAACCACTTACTTTTCTCTGACATTTTGTGCATGTTTAGGGTTGACCACACCTATAGGTTTGGACAAGTCCCTGAAAATGGACGGGTCCTCCAGATCCAGAACGGGAGAGGTGTAGTCACACAAGATCCAGGGGAACTGAAGAGGACAAGACAATACAATTGCAACAAAATCCTCCTCAAACTAATGACATTTAAAAGGGTCATACATGGAAGAAGCCTTCACAATGAGGGGAGCAGGAGAGAACTCACCACAGGATATTGCGACAAGTCGTTGTAAGTGCGTCCAGCGATGGTGTTCAGCTGCATCAAATACTCAAAATTGGAGATTTCTCTGCAGACCCATTTCTGTTCAACACATCAGCATTAGGTTATTATAAGACAACAATCGCAAGTCAGGTGATAATCATAGTGAAGTTTCATAGAAACTGAATACCTGTGTCAGTCCGGATGCCTTCAGCAGCTCTTGTGGGGAGCGAGAGCCAAAGTAGAAGAGATTTGGAGGCCGCAGCCCCAGAATCCTCGAGTACACTTTGTTTCGTACCTAAAAGAGCCGATAGGAAGAATTTGAGCCTCCGTATTGTTTCAATGATTTTGTGTACAGAGCAAAGGGAGTTGAATTTCACCTTCTTTTTAAAGTTGATAAAGTAATGAGCCTGGTCAATGAAGAAAAGCTCCAGCGCAGACCTCCGCAGGTTGTAGCGCCTCAAGTGGACTTCTCTGAGCTGAGACAGGGGCCGCTTAAAATCAAACCCGATTCCTAAAGACACAGATAGTATTCACTTCTGAAAGGATCCTTTCAACAGCAGTCAAAAAGATGTGATGTTCAGTGATCACATATTTTCTTACCTTCTTCCGTCTCTTCTTTCTCACTACTGCCGTCATAGAAGTAAAGATGATGCGTGGTGACCTCCAGGCGACCCTGCACCACGTCCACAATGGTGATGAGCTCACAATCTTCAGACAGAACCAGTTTTTCTTTTTGGCTCTCGTCTTCTCCCTCCGCCCTGAACGCATGGGAAAGTTAAACTTGAGATGATCTACACTTCATTTACACAAATACAAGCAGACATAACAACATCATTTTTAAGACATTTCATGTTTTATATATGTATATGTTTTATATATGTATATGTTTTTTTTTACATATAGCCTGTCAAAACCGTTTTTCTTCTTGATGTGTTTCCTTATGTTTTGTATATGAAACTTAAAACTGGAGACTCACTTATCATCCAAAAAGACAACATCCTCTTCTCCCAACCGGTCGTCCTCCATGTCGCTGACTTTTGCTTCCTTTGCAACAGCCAGTGGGAGGGTTTCAGAGCTACGAGGACTGTCAGCTCCTGAAGATGAAACAATAACACCTTTACTCTACTGCAACTCTATATTGCTTACATGAGCTAAAGACGAAAGTTACTTTGTTTATACCCATGTTATCCCTCTGGGCACTGGCCTCAATGTGAGGATCATAGTTGTAGTTGGGCACAAGTTTTAGACGCATCTTTGAGTAAGTCTCTGCACTAGACAGTTTCAGTTTCACCTCTGGTTGAACTCTGTGAAAAAAAAAAACAGAAAAAGAAAGAATAAACATTCAGCAAAAGGACGGTTTGTTTAAAAAAAAAACAACCTGTTTCATAAATGCTGTTTTAACTTTGGAAAATATGTTTGGCTCAAGAGTAGTGCGGAGACATATTTAAAAAAATGCTGGTATGAAGTCTGAGTTGGTCATACCTGTTGGCCCATGCTCCTCTCTCACTGGTCAGAAGTCTGCGGAGAGCTCTCCAGTGCTGCAACACCACCCCCTGCTGGCTGGAGATCTGCTTCTGCCAACTGAAATACCTGTTGTTCTCACTCCTCACACGCTTCATGTAGGGGTCCACAATAACTTCCTGCTCCCACACAAACAACACACACAACAACCAGATCAGGGATGTGAAACATCTAAGATATTAAAGTGTTTGTTGCATGAAGAATGAATGCTTTTATAACCTGAAACTTGGTCTTGCTGTCTGATCTGTCTTTGTCCCGTTTAAAAGATGTACTCATCAGGTCATCGAAGCAAGAGTTCCAGAAATTGGACATGATGTCATGGCTCCTCCCAAACGTGTCCAGCTCATACAGCTCCATAGTGGGCTGAACCTACAAGCAGATTTTCAAAAGATGGACAGTAAAACACAAAAATTTGAGTATATTAACAAGTATACATTTGCAACTCTACCTAAGTATACATGTGTTCATATGTAAAAGTGAAAAAAGAAAGAAAGAAGATTGCATATAAGATCAATAAAACAGGATTGTTCTCATATACAAACACATTTACTTTACAGTATCCTTTTTATGTTTGAAGGAGGTTTTTTTTTATTTTTTACAACCACTTAATTTAAACCTGTCTCTGGTTATTTTCCTTCCACTTATTGCCTTACCATTACATACTTTAACTATTACGTAATACAGTATAAAAGTACATAAATATATAGAACTCCTCTTTAACATTTGTGTAAAGCCAATGCAAAGCCACTGCATACACACTAAAACTTAACTGTCATGACATCAAAATTTATGCCATGCTGGTTAATATATCACAGGATCTGTATACAGAAGTAAACTAAACTAAACTGATTTATGAACACGCGCTGTCACACACAGCCATGATAAATCCACCTCTCAGCTGGTGCTCAGCATGTCTGGTGTCTGTTCATGAAATATGTCAGCTTTAAGTTTGAGAATAAACTGAAGTCTACTAAAAATACACTGAAGGTCAGATAGAAGACATTTGGGAGTTTGGGGTTGTTGTTTCTTTACTTTCTCAGCTTATAAAAACATTTGTAAAAATTTGGATTAGATTTCTCAGCCACCCATAAGAATTATAAAGATCAGAGCAGTACTCAAGTGTTCCCCGAAGTGATAAAGACCTTGGCCAACAGTATCTGACATGAGATGGTTTATTTGAGTTGTTTAGTTTTACCGAACACTAGAGAAGATGTTCTCCAGCCTCCTTAAACTCAAGATAAATTCCATCTATTTTTGAATACACAACGTCATCCAAAACACTGACCTGCTGTTGGAAAAAACTCCTGCCACTCCGATGTGTCGCAGTAAGTCTTCAGGTCCTGGGCAAAGGTGGCGCTGCCATTAGTTACGGGCAGGTTTGGTAATAAGTTTTGGAGGGCCTCGGGTTCTGCGTGCTGGTCCAGCAGCGTTCGCACAATCGGGACCAGTTGGGAGAAAGTCTCTGCATTTCCACATTTGTTGCCGTCAATTACACCTTCCGGCCACAGGGGGGAGCCAAGGTGCCCGAGCAGGAAGCACACCTCCTCCCAGCTGAGAGGCAGCACAGTTTGTAGAAGACTGTGGAGCTTCAAAAAGGCCATTTCACGCACCTGAAGAGGGGCAAGAGGTAAACAGCTGGTTGAATCCTGACTAATAGCCTATTCAGAAAGTTTATAGAGATATGAAAAAAAGATTTAAATCTTTGCAAGGATCTACAGAACACCACACCTAATCAGTTGATGATCCTTGAGAATAATCTGGCATTTACATGACCTCATATCACTCCTTGGTCATTTATAAAATATTGTAATTATGAAAACAGCATTTCATCTTTATTTTTTAAATAACTCCTTTGTAAAAAAGGGACCTCCTTACCTCTCATGTTGTAAATGAATGAAAAAGATAACATCAGTACATGGACTGATTATTAGAATATATAAAATGTATTAGTATATGCTATATAGCTATATGGCCAATTAGTAATTTATTTGATGTAGATGACAGAAATGCATATTTCATTTAAAGACTGAACTAAGGCTGTTTATCATAAGGAATTTACGAGACTCAAAGTGTTTAATGCAACACTGTGCTTATTTAAACAACACCCCACTAAGATCAGAAAAGCACTTTGTGTAAATTTGAGCTTAACCGGTCCAACAGATCAATTTTTGAACGGTCTCTTTGCTCTTTGTTTCTTTTCAAGCGCTCCGTTTTAAAGGCGTTATTGGAAAGGCCTGATCTACACCCCTTAAGAAAAAATGTATTTGTCGAGCTTAATTATTGTCGGAGAAGCAAAAGCAGATCCTTTGCTTGGGTTAAAATATCAAAATCCATCCCATAAAAGCATTTTATCATTTGAAGTAGAAGGTCTGTGATCCAGTTTTTACTTTTACAAAGAATGTAAGAGCAAAATGTGCTTAAAAGTATCAGAAAGTCATGAAGGAAAGTGGACCCCTGTTATTTAATCAATAGTTCATACTTCTACAAGCTGTTTTTATGCTGGTGTATTTTGAAGAGATATGAAATATGAAAAATAAGTACCTCATAAATTGATGTAACATTGGCACTCATATGAATATTATTTAATACATCCCACTACTTGAATTAATATTCTACTTAAGGGTACAATTAAGTTTAATTTATTTCAGACTTGACATTTAAAAAACAAATTGCTTAAGGGGGACCAGTGCCACTGGAGACTGGCCTAGCAACATGTGATGGAAAGCCTTATGGTCAGCTTGTTTATGACCGCTTGCTTTATCCCACAATCCCACAGATGGAGCAGCATTAGAATCAGTCATAACTCAGAGAGGAGCTGCCCTCTCACACTGAACACTCCCTCAGAGGAATGACTGTAATGTCCATGAAAAGAGAGCCATAGAAGGATTGGTATTGCTACACAGGCTTATCTGAGGGTGCTAATCATGTTAAACAAATATTTTAAACCCCTTTAAATTAATTTTCTTCAAAGTTCAGTTACACAGGTATTTGAGTTGTGAAAGACCGTGAGACATATTTGAAATTTTTTGGTCAACTGGGTGATGGACAAGACAATTTTCTGACCGGTGAGAGCTGCTGATGGATGTACGCCGTGATGATTCGTAGTCCAATCTGTGCCATTTCCTTCAGTTCGGTGTTCCCGGGGCTCCCAGGGGTGCTATGCCAAGCCTGCAACCTGTCCAGCAGGTTCACCACCCCCTCAAAGATCTGCAACACAACATTAACAGTTAACAAAAGGCTGTAGAGATAGGCTAGACCTGTTTCCACACCTCGTAGCATCAACAACAACCTTCAGCTATTCAGTAAGTTTACAATACAATACAGCTTAACATGCATTTAAAAAGGTGATTCAGATGCTACCTACACCCAACCATGACTCTCCACCCTGCAGTCAGAAAAGACAGAAACATTTCCCCTGATAATAAACTCCAACCGACGGCAACCACACCCAGCTGCACATGGTGTCAAGACTTAAGTCTCTCCTCTTATATCAACATAATTCTTATCGACTAATCTCATAGCTTTCAAATTTGCTCTGATATTCAGATATTTATTGCGTAACTAGATGAATCTACTTCATAGCCCCAACTTAATTAAAAACAAAAAACAAAAAAAAAAACAGATAGTTCATTAATTTCTTGGAAGACAACAACCTTCAATGTCTTCCACTGAGGATTTTATACCAGAGAATAAAATAAAGAGAAAATACATGTGGACTGTTTGTTGCTCTGAGCATTGACTTCTTTTCAATTGAGAAGTTTTTTTAAATCCCTCTGGTGTTGAGTATTTATAGAAAGCAAATGTGCAGTCTGCTGTACTGGTATGTGATGTACGCCTACAGTCAGTACTGTAGTGATAGCAGCTGTCATGCTAATATAAGCTAATAATAATAATAATAACTAGCCTCAGATAGCCTTAGAAAACAAGAGAGACACAGTTTAATGCAGGGCTGTGATTGACTATCACATGACCCCAAAAAAACAAATTAAAGGATAATAATCAGATTTTTGCTTCTTCTACAATAGCATAAAGTTAGCATTGTGCTATGCTAAGCTAAACAGCTGCTAGCTGCAGCTTCTTTTTAAACAGACCAACTTTAGACTGGCATTTTTCTTCTGATCTTAATCCAAGCAAAAAAAAAAAGAAAATATGTTGTCACAATGGTTAACTGTTTTTAACGTCCATACATCATCTTGAGCTGAAATAATTGTTTTTGCATATTTAAATTTAATTTGTGAAAATGTATTCAATAATTAAAAAGCAGAGCCAGGGCCTCTAATTAAGGATTCACTGTTGATTGTTTCTCAGCCAAATGGTGCTTTATTGTGGTGTAAAGTAAAACTTTCCCCTTTCTTTATTTGTGAAATATCAGTTATATATTTTGCTTTATAGTATTATTTCTTTATAAACTCTAGTAGAGTTGCATCATTTCAAGTAAATATAGCAGAGACTATCTGGGCTGCAACTGATGTTATTAAATCTAAACCTCTAAAAGCATCAGCTGGTCTTAGCTTGTTCTAATATAGATATTCCTAGAAGTTTTAGACCACAACATTTAGCTCTAAGAGATACAATAGTGAAATTGGGATTCTTCCCTTTGTTTTCCCTTGTGTTTTCAGTCAACTAACCTTTAAAATTTGTCACACGTACATTTGTTTTCGGTAGAATCTGTGATATACCTTTTCACTCCACAGGGTGTGGTTGTTTGTACCCTCAGCAAACAAAAAGTCCTGCAGGAGCCTGAGGAGCCGAACGAGACTGGGGCAGAAAGGCAGAGAAGCTCCCTGGGCCTCCCTCAGGTCTGACAGAGACGACTCCAGCATCATCTCTAAAAGACTGGTGTTCAGAGTGACAAAAAAACAGCATTTTTAGTTCATCACTCCAGTATAAAAGGAGATCATTTATGGATATTTAGACAGACATTTAAGGAACACAGTGTGTCTTCCTTTGTGAGAATGCTTCAATTCCGGTTCAGTGTGTCTGTTTTCTGAAGGGAAAATCCATTTCTTCACTGACCTTCGTTTTATTTCATCAGGAGGACGGACAAGTTGGGAGGAGGAGCCAAGTTTGGTGAGAACGGAGAAGACCTGCCCTCTTTCTCTCCACACCACATCCTCGGTCCCCTCCAGCCTGCTGCGGCACCACAGCACCGAGAAGATGATGTTGGTCAGTAGATTGCAGAGCTCCTCCTCAGGTGTCTGCTAAAAATGCATAAACAATTAGCAGCAATTTCTGACAAACAAAAAAAAGATCTCTACTATTTCAAATTAAAAAAACAACAACTTCTAAATCAGGATTTATCTTGATATGTTAGTTAAGTGCAGTACCTGTGGGTTTGATGTGTTGGATATTGTATCCCCAGTGGGGGGGTCTGTCCCATAGCTTGTATCATCCAGCACGTTGGACAGACTGGAACTCTTTCTGGGTCTGAGAGGTGGAAAAGGTTTGCAGTGCTCTAGAGGAGATGGCGTGTTTGTCAGACTTCCTACAGGAGTGTGTGCGCCTGTCTCACCCATCCCCCCCATGTACAATTCAAAGGGTGATGTACCAAAGGGGGAGAGGGGCTGGTAGTCTCTCCCTTCCCCATCGGGGCGAGATGAATTGATATCCATCGCATTAGAGATGGAGGACGAGTGGCTCCCCTGTTCCACTGAATCAAACGACTTGAAATGAAGGGAGCCGGCGTAGTTTTTCAGCGTGCCTCCACCTCCACTCGAAGGCGACTGGGATAAATCAGAAAAGCCCTCAGACATATCTCGTCTACCACCCTCATCCTCCTCCTCGTCATCGATGTCCTCTGAGATTTGGTAGCTCAGGAAGATGCTTGTGTCCTCTATGACCATGGACGGATCTCTGCGTAATGCTGGCCGGTAGTTTTGTTCAAAGGAGCTGTGGGTGCCAGAGTCTGAAATGCTGGCAGGGCAGTACTCATAGGACTCCTTTACATAGAGTTTGGTGAGAATGTCCTGCCAGCCGGGCTGCTTAGCGAGCTGCTTCACATAATCCTCGTTGGAGTAGATCAGATGAAAGAGCTGGGGGGAGAGAGATAGGAGCAGAAGAGCTTAAAAAATAAAGTTAGATACAAAATATGCTTCAGTATTCAGTACATCATGTGAGCACACTGACCTTACGACAGACATCTAAGCGGACCGTGAGTTCGGCTTGATGGGACAGAGAGACCACAGCCAGCAGGTCCCTGAAGTTCGGGTTGGGATCTGTGAAGTAGCAGAGAATGTATATCAATGCAAATTCATCAGAAGGCTTTATTTACTCATATGTTGACTTTGAAGATTGTGAATACTCATGACTTTACTCATCGTCTTTCAAAATTTGAACAATACTTGTTAATTTGCATGAAAAAGTTGTTAAAGTTATTTTGAAGGTAATGGCAGGCATTTCCACTATGCATTAATCAATAAGAAGAGCTACTTTATTTAGCCTATTAATTCCGCTACACAATTTCTATAAATGTCTTTAAAGTTTATTTTATTCGCCATTAACCTAAAGAGGGACTACATGATTGGTCTCATAATAACAAAGAAAATCACTCACTTTTTCTGGTTAAATTTTGATTTAATAAGCAGCTGTTGATTTCCAGGGAAAGTTTTTTTTTTTTTAATGAATACTTAGTCTAATCTTATGTCAATATTAATTCATTAGTCAATTATTGAGTACAGGAAACTTACTTTGTCTTATAACTTGTATTCTTTGCATGCCTGCAGACAAATCTCAAGTTGATGCATTTTCATTTGATTTAAGGTTGAGCACACTTAAATGTATTGACATGATGAATTGGAAGTGTTAAAAATCTGTGTCTGTGTTTCACCTGAAGGACTAATTCTGATTTAAATAGTTGCTTTAAGAAACATTCAGGTCAGTGCATTAATAGTTCCAGTAATTCTTCCATCCATCTACATCATTATCTATACCACCTTTCCTGTTCGGGGTTGCGGGGGGCTGGAGCCAATCCCAGCTGTCATAGGGCGAGAGGCGGGGTACACCCTGGCCAACCAGCCACACTCACATTCACACCTAATGTAGAGTCACCAATTAACCTAACAAGCATGTCTGTGTAATGTGGGAGGAAGCCGGAGTATGGTGAGAGAACCCATGCATGCACAGGGAGAACATGCAAACTCTACACAGACAGGTTCCTGTCCGACGGGGATTCAAACCAGAAACCTCCTTGCTGTGAGGAACAGCAGCGCTAACCACTGCACCACCGTGCAGCCTAATAGAAATTCATGTCAAATAAAAAATATGAAAAACCAAAATTACCAGGTAATTTTGTATAAAATCAGACTTCAATGACAGCTTTTTGCTGGTAATACCAGTGAAATTGTTAATCAATTTGTTGACAATGCACAGTCCTGATGTAGTAGATGAGTTTGTCATTATTGAAATCTTTAATGATTTGCTTGATTTGTAATTATTTAAAGTCAAACAGAAAGAAAGCCAAATTTCCAGCAGCTTCGACTTTCAGATGCGTTTCCTTTTTTGTCTCTTAAAGAACTCAATAAAGACCAGGAAAAGACTGTTTTGGCATTACCTGTAGCTAGGACCTGCTCGTACAGACATCGCACTGTCGTCATGGTAACTGGGAAGTTTTCAAGTAAGAACACCAGGCCCAGGTATCCGAAGTCCTTCAGCTTTATGCGCTGTTTATTACGCTCAGACACCCGCTCGCTCTTGAGGATTTTATACAAAACCTGCAAATTTTAAAGGGAACTGTAAGTTTAATGTAAGTCACTTTTCTTACCTGATCATACAGAGCACGGCAGTATGAATTTCAAGACAATGATCAAAAGAAGTGTGTTCTAACCCTGAAGACCCTCTCTCTGGCCTCGTCTCCGAAGCTCTGAGTGAGCAACAAGCAGTACAGCTGCTCCACACCCCATTCAAGCAGCACAGCCTGCACCTGCTCACGAGGGGGGCTGCTCCTCAACAGGTCATACAGCACATCCAACGCCCTCACCACCTACATAAGAGAGAGCAATGAATCACAAGAAAGTATCCTGAAACATATATAAGGAAGGGTTTAACTTGAAGAAGTTTACAAGAGGAGTCTGAAAGTACCCAGATGCCAAAACATGAGAATCAAAAAGGAAAAGTGGATGATCAAAGGGAGTTAACTCAGGGGCTGGAAGTTTAAAGGTCAAGTGATAACTCACTGAAGAAACATCATTAAAAACATACCTGCTGCTCCTCTCCTGCAGTCAAAATGTAGGCGAGGACGCTGTGAAGCTCCTCTGGCGTGGGGGTCTTGAGAAAGTCTTTCAGCAACCCAAACAGAGATGTTTGAATCGTCTGCTTTTCATCAGACAGAGGGCTGCCATCTTTCTCCACACTATAGACAAAGATATTCAAAAAGAAGTAAGTATTGTTTTTTATGGACTGATATGTTCATGACTTGAAATAAATATGTAAAAAGTAAAGCAAATTTACACTAACTTTTAAACCTCTTAACTGTTCTTTTTTTCTTTTCTTAATGAGCTTAGATTTCTGTACTACGGAAGCCCTTAGCGGACATGCATTCATACATCTTAATTTCTCTTTTATCCTGTAATCACCCGTGAGTAATCTCTGTTTGTTCTCTTGAGATCTTGATGTAATATTATTGTTATCTTGGGATAACAAAGCCTGTTTTCTTGTGATTAGAGGGTCCTTTTCTAGCGATCTAGAAAACGAAACAATAGGCTGGTCATTTTGAATGGGCAGACCACCACATGCCATGCTGCCTTTGCTATCTTATGACTTTAAGTGAGCCTAATACTATCTCTGGGGACAAGTCATTATTAAGTTGAGAGCTCAGAAATTACTTTCTATAAATGAAATAGGAGTAAATAAAATGTATGGATGACTGTCCAATTAGGGCTTCCATACTGTACATTCACTGAGGATATCGTTTTCGTTATATAATTATTGTGTTTGTATTGTGGATGTCAAAGGTTCACCTGTAGTACGTGCGAATGGTATCCAGAATATACTGGACGCCATACTTCCTCTTAACGCGCTGCTTTCCCTTGTTGATCACAGAGGACAGGTACTGCACATGAGCTTTGGGAGAAATAAAACACTGTCGTCATCTCCTTTTAGTTTGACATTTAGAAATATCAAACCAATACGCACGCTTATATCAAAAGAGTGCATGACAAGAAAAAGGTACTAAAGTGCAGCTTCAGGCACAGATTTACTTTTAACCTCTGCCACAGCCTGAACTGGAAGGATTAATGTATTCTATCTGTGCTCCACGGTGCTTTTAAGCTGTATATACAAATCAAAGGGACACAAACAGCTCTGGCACACATGAAAAGGGTCACAGGTGTAGCACACAACAACAAAAAGGGCCGCTTATGCCTTACCCAGACAGACGGCAAAATGGCTTTTAGTCCAGATGCGGAAATCAAAGAGCAGGTGCTGGTAGAGCTGCAGTAGGAGTAAACTGTTGCCCTCGTTGAAAACCTGCTCGAGCAGCAGCTGACATGCCATTAAAACGTTCATGTCCATCATACTGCCAGGAACCTGCAGCAGAGGGAGCACAGAGGGAGGGGGGGGTTAAGTGTGTTAGTGTTAAATTGTGTTTAAGTATGTTTCCATTTACTTAAATTAATCTCAAGGCTTTCTCATCTGAGTAACACTTAAAGGCTGTTGCAGTGTTTGTGTCCAGATACTACTGTAGGATTGTTTCAGTCGTTGCCACTGCAAAAGCTGGCAACCCCACGTGATTATTAAGACACGATTTCCTTTCAGGATGCTCCACCTTACTGTCATGTATTTCAACATATCCTTTACACGTTAAGAACGCCTGTGTCGCACCAACGTGAAACCTGATAGGCTAAGAACTTTAAAGATTCACATCTATTCCAGCAGAGTGACAATGCTGACTTGTGAACTCAAATAGAGGTTGTCTTTAATCAATCAGGCCCCCTGCATGTTTGCCCAGTATCCTGTAGCATAACCGCTCTAACCAAAATGACAAAAAAATACAACTTTTAGCTGACAACATAGCCAGTTTTGCTTGCTCTAGACTCAAGTCTGCCACAATATGTCAGTAAAATATGATACAAAGAGCTGAGCAGCACAAGTGCACCACAACTTACTGGATCTTATATGATAGGTGAGTTGTAATTTTGTTTGGATCTACATTTAATTTGCAAAATTTCCAACAAGATTTTGTAGCTGGTATTGTTTTTTCTTGGTCCCAGAGACCTTACAGTCTGGCCAACTCTGCATTAATTCCCCCCCACACAAGCACATGATCCCGTCATTCTGAAAGAATCTGTGCCACCAACATTGTACCCATTCATTACACAGCATTAATACAATGGAAAAGGTTAACTAGTCACTTTCAGATGCTAATTAGTTCTACCCGCACAAAGTTCCCACTTGCAAACTGATGTGTGGGCCACTCACTTTGCTGAGCATTGCTCCAATGATGCTTGGCCCGTGGCAGTGCAGCAGGCTCTCCTGATTGACGGGGTGATGATGAATCAGGTTTTTTACCATCAACAGGAAGGCTGCGACGCTGTTTCTCTCCAGTCTGCCCTCTGAGAAAAAAGAAATTGGGGCAAAACAACATTTCAGATTTCCTGTATACTCATGGTGGCTTTTTTTTTACATGACACAGCACTTGTCTCAAGATGAATCATAAGTCATCTGACGAGGTGTTTGTCTAACTTTTGTTGGACACGTTGTTCTTTTATTCTCTGTCGTTCATGTTTGAATTCTGCAGACGACAGTGCACAAGGCCAGAAATTCTGAATGCGACTGTTATGACTGTTTGCCTACGCTACTGCTGACATTTAATCCATTAGCATTTATCATACAGTCTTTGGTATGTTTTTATGAAGAGTATAGTATTTGCTTCACGTCTAGTATTGTCAGATACTTCATGTTAGTTCTTGCATAATGCACAATGTGCAGGTTCTGACTCACTGCTATTCAAAACAAGTCTGAACTTCACAGATAATCATTTTTAGGAATTGGCACATTTACAACTGAACAAACCAAACCAAGAGCTACATCTAAATTAGTTCTCATGGAAAAATGTACTCATGATACTTCAACGTTGAATTAGTAAAGAGACACTATCAGTGCATGTAACATAATATGCAAGAAAAGGAGAATATCTGAACTAAACAGGATCTGACCTGCAGACTTGTTTAGTGGCAGCAGCATGGCAGCCCGGCCTCTGGGGGAAGTGAGCTCTGGTCCCAGCAGGTCTGAGATCTCCCGACCGCCGTTATAAGCCTGCTCGGCCTCACAAACCTGCTCGAGCAGGGGCAGCAAAACCCCCATACCCCCCACCACGTTCACAACATCCTGCAGGGGAAACAATTGATAGACTTTTAACTTTTCACATTCTTCCACACGAGCTCTATTTCATCAGAAATGTCATTAATAAAAGAGACCAGCCAAAAACAAGCTATATACACTTCAAAAGCATTTAATATTGCTGCATCTCATATTTCAGGACCTTTTTGGTCATATACAGTCTGATATCTAACCTTAATGTCCCAGTTGACTACCCGGTGTCCTGTAAGCCTTCCATCATATTGGTGATTGGGTGACAAGTCCAGACAAATCTGGCTCTTGAAGGCCTGAAAAAATATATCATCAAATCAAATGAAAAAAGTCATGTTAATAATGACAATCAAAGCAGTGATATAAATCATGTATGTTTTCCCTGACTTTTATTGGTTCACCTGTGGAGTGTAGTAGAGCAGAAGCCTGCTGTTTATATCAGACAACTCTCCATCCGCTTTGAATAGGGACACGTGATTTGGGCCTGTGATGGAGAACAGGAACCAATGTAGGTCAGAAACTATGCAAACACACCTTGGAGCACATCCAAATCCTAATGGTTGGCGTATTCTTTCAACAGATTGCCTTTCACTCTGTTTCTTGTGCCTTGAATGAGAAAGTTACCCACCTGCAGCGTGCAGAGCTCTGGTCTGATTTTGCTGCAGAGCCTCGTGGCAGATAAAGGCTGTGCCCAGCAGCCCGTCCAAAGATGTAGGTGTTCCCCACTCTGTGTCCTGTCGTCCTGCTGAGATGGTGTGCACTGGGGCGTCTCCCAGAGACCCCCAGCGGCCTCCTGTAAAAGAGGCTGGGAAGGACTGGGAACGGATAAGGGCAGGGGCATGGGCGGGGAAGGAAAACTCTGATGTTGATGCATTGGAGGAGGAGGACGTGGGCAGGTTGGGGGAGGTGGTGGTGATAGTGGTACGGTGGCCTGCAGAGCCGATGCAGCAGGAAGTAAAAGGCTTCAGGAAGGGGAAGAAAAAAGGAAAGACAAAAAAAGGAAGTTTGATTGAAAGCGAGGAACTACTCTGATATAATAAAAAGTTCTCCAAGGAACATTAGACAACAGCTGCACTTACCTCACTGAAAGATGGAAAGCGAAGCTGAGCAGTTTTGCGCTGCTCACCATCAATGTATATGGTTACAAGGTTCTGACCAAAGGGGCGACGACCTGGTATGTGGACTATATCCACCGAATGCTGTGGTGAGGATAAAAGTAAGGAATACTTCACTACTTATAAACTTTTACTACATTTCAAATAGATTTTTTCTCTTACTTTACAATAATTTTTTGGCAACGACAAAGTCAAGAAAACAGTCTCACAATGAAAATTCACAGCTGCAATTCAACCACACTAACCTCTTAAAACTACTGTACTTTACAAGAGGTACTTTCAATTTGCTACAATAATTATTCTTCAGTGTCACACGCCCAGACATCTTTGCATAGAAAAACAATGTATTGTAGTTAAACCAATCTGTGATTGAGTCAGTTTTAATTTGGGACAGGCTAAATGAGGACAAATGTTGGCAAACACTGTAGGTATCCTACTCACCCAACATGAGTCAGCCAGTGGGTGCTCAGGGAGTGTGACAGCCATGTAGTCTTTTTTAGTGCAAACAGCCACAACAAGTACACCCCCCATGGTGAAGAAGGCTTCCAGCCCAGTTCCACTTGCAGTGAAGAAGCTTTACAAAAGAAGAAAAAACATTTAATTGAAATATTGGCAAGACACCATAAGAGCTTATGACTTAGCTTCTTTTTTTTACCTGTAGAGCTGTTTTCTGCGTGGACCTTTTCCCATGTCATGCTGGGTCCCGTTGCCAGAGTTTGCAGAAGGCTTCCGGTTGTTTGAGAACTCTGAGGGGAATTCCTTGTTGAGGCAGAGCCAGGCATGAAAGGCAAAGCCGCTACCTGGCCAGCGTTGGATTGTGGGTACCATAATGCCAGCCACAGGGCATGTAAGGTCAAAGTACTGCAGGGCACTGTCCTGGCCTTCTCTGGCAGCCATGGCAGAGAGCACTCGGATGATGGGGGTACAGTAGGGGTGCACCTTCCCCACTGCTGCACCATTGTCCTGATCCACCCTCAGCAGTTTGAGCAGGCTCTTCAGCTCCTCTGGCCTCAGGCACAGGGAGCCCAGGTCCTGCAGGAGACCAAGAAGGGCGTCTGCACACTGCCTGTCCAGATTCTGTGGCTGGGAAAGAACCTGCAGCAGAGCCCCCATCATGCCTGCCTCTACAGCCACAGTGCGACAGGATAAAGAGCCACCACAGATGGCAGCCAGCCACTGGGCCACCAGCAGCTGAAGGTCCCTTTGGCCTGACAGGTCAGGCAGCCACTGCAGGAGCAGCAGCAAAGGCTGGTCGTTACTTATGCCAAGGTGATGGGCGTGGGCATGCTCACCCTCCACTGCCTGGAGACGAAAACAATGTAGACGTAGAATGAAGATAAGAAATAGACAAGGGCCATAACTTCAGGTTAACAGGCAACCCAATTAAAGGAGGAACAAGGTCATTAAAGAGAGGAAATTGGCTTCTACAGTCTCTACACTCAGTATGGATGATAAGTAAATATGAGTTTCACCATGTTCATCAGTTCCTGCAGCAGCCTTTTAGTGGGTTGACCTTGACTCTTCAGCACATCAAACAGCTGGGGGTAACCAATCCTCTCTTTGAAAACCTCCTGAGGTGGAAGAAAGACAGAAATAGTCTGAAGAAAGCTCCTCCATTGGGATCTTTAGTTGGCACACTTCCATGCATTGGAAGATAATAGGATGAAATGTCTTTTCTGAACAGAAAATAGCTTTCCTAATCAGACAGTAACTGTGGACATGAACAGAAGTATTACAGATATATGATCTTAAGTGATCACAAGCGGCCTTACCTTAGCCGAGGGAGAGTTGCTCATTATAGCAGTGAGGACACCTAGGGCATGAACTGTAATACTGTCGGGTCCTCTCTCCAAGACCTGAATAAAAACAAATAGTTACAGTTGATAGTACCATAACAGAAATAAAATTGAGCATCATCATTTGTGGACACCAAGAACCACAGAAAGCACATATTGTACAGATCTAGAAAAGTGCAAGAGAAAGCACACCACATTTTCCCAAATCACAATTATTGCAGCAGAGTAGGTCAAAGTAAGTGAACTGCTGTACCAGTCTCTAAACAATCCCTTCTTTGTTTATTACTGTTAGGTCAAAGCATGCAAAAACTGAACTAAAGCCTTCCACCAAAAACACTGAAGAAACCCCCAACTAATACTGGAAATTAGGCCATATCAAATCCAGGGTCATGCAAGGACTCAAGCCAGGTCTTCTGTACAAGTACAAGCATGACCGTAGAACAGCCAAAAACCAGGAAAAGAAGAAAAGAAAATTGAAAAATCTGCAATTCCATGCACTGTGGACACACTACTAAAATTCTTCTTGCCCAGTGTTGTCAACAGGGAACTCAGCCTGAAACTATGAGTGATATAAATCAATCCATTAAAATATAATACTGCTTACAATATACAATACAATACAACACATAATAAATGAACTCCAATAATCAGGTATAGCTGTTCAAACTACATCATTATTTACATTACATTATTTACTAGCGAGTGTAAGCCAGACTTCCTGCCTCAAGCTTCCTGTTTAAATAGTTCAGAGCAGTTAACAGGTGTAAAGGAGGCTGAGTTTCCTGCTGACAGACCAAGTCCACACACCAAGCAGGGGGAAGTACCTGGTCCACTTCAACCTCTGTGAGTAAACACGTAGTGAGGTCACTCACAACCTCAAGCTCCAGTTTACACCTTTTGCTCTGAAAGAGCTGCAGGGCGTACACATGCAGGCACACACAACACAAAAATACAGACAATTAGACAAAAAAGGTAATCTATGTGGTAACAGTAATTATTCAGACAGCGGCCATTTTCCTCTGACCTCATACTCTGGCAGAGAAGCTGAGATGCTGTTATATTGTTACAGGTTGTAAATTGCATAAATGAAGATCATCTGACAAAAAAAAACAAGCGGCAACCTCCTGTGTTGAAAAGTAAATCCAATGCTAAGATGGCCATACGAATCACCATTAAGGCCAATATTAAAATGAACATTTTAACAGCAGAAGTAAACATGTTTACAGCCTGGTTCAAAAAACTATTTGGTCTAGACAGATCTTTTTTTCTTTTTTGGTAAAGACTGTACAAATGCGTGATTTTTAAAATAACTCATCTATTTGGAATCATGATGTCTAATAGTTATGCATACATTTGCATAACTATGTCTCTGTTGAGTTGGCCAGCAGGCAGCAGGGCACGTATTAGCCATTTTCCAGGAGGCTTGAGGCCTGCCTCAACTCTGCCTCTTTGCCTGTTTCTAGATTGATCAAAAGTAAGGTTAAGATAGTATTTTCAATATAGGGACCACTGAGGATGGTCTTCAAAACTTCTCTTCAGAAAACCAATGGTTGACGTCACTGAGTCTACGTCTGTATGTATACAGTCTATAGACAAACCATTATCATTTCATCCCATCTTGCGAGCAGCTAATAGCATGAATGAGAATATGAATTCAATATAAGGATGTAAACATATTTTGATTAATTCATTTTTTACTTATGAAATTACCCCTTTCACAAGATGAATTGAGCAAAGCAAACCTGAAGAATCCAAAGAGAAGCTGTATGTGATACAACCCTGCGTTTCTACTTTACTCTTTTTATCAAGTTATCCCTTCTTCATTGATCTGCAACTACACATACAATGACAAGCAACAAGTCCACAGGTATTTCTATCCACATTTTAAGTTAAGACAAGATATTTAATACCCATTTGCTATGTTCAGACAATGGGTAACGTTAGCATTTAGCTAATTCCAGATAATATCACTGTTAGCTTATGGCTGACATAGCTAACATTACTGTTTTGCAGGGAAGTATAATACAATACAAAGGGCATCCATTTCCTGCTAACGTTACATTAGAACATCAATATTTTCTGCCAAGCTAATCAACACTTCAATTCAATTCATTCAGCCTTATGAATATGGAGACAGGTCTGGCCCTATTCTCTTTAAACTGCAGGGTGACCTATGCATTGTAATAGCCATGAGGTTAAATTATGAGCTGTGAATGTCCATTTTTTTGATATTTCAGATTGATCAAATAGAAAGTGGTTGTGGCAAAAAGGGGAACAGACAGGCAAATTGACAGAAGGACAGAGCAAACAGAGACATGTTATTCCGACGGGGCTCTGACCTTGCTGTTCTGAACAAGCCTGAGGATGTGCTCAAAGCAGTTGTTGTTGAGGAACACAGCCTGCAGCACTGGTCTGTCAGGGCACTGCAGGATTTCAGGAACAGCGGCTAAAAGTGACAACAAACAAGCATGTTGACTGAGTGCTTTATTGCCATGACACAAGAAAATCAATTTGATCAATGTATCAATTTTGATAGATAGAGATTAAGGTAAATTTGCTCGATTTGAGACCCGGTGGGCATGTTCTTACTTAGCATTTGGCTCTGCAAAGAGATCAGACTGTCCTCCCAAGTCTGCCTGTCTTGCTCCTTGCTGCTTGGCAGACGGTTCCAGTTGAGGAGCTGGAAGAAGCTCTCCAGTATCGTCCTGATCTCCACCTGTCGCTCTGCAGGGCTGCTGGAGTGCAGGAGATGGATCATTGTGGTCAGGCACTGCAGGGTCAGCCTTGGTAGACCTGTGTCTTTTGGTTCAGCGGAGGTCCGGCAGCACCACGCTCGCAGGACAGAGAACATATCCTCAACAGACTGAGGGGTGATGGAGAGAAGGCCATTCTTCTGGGGGAGAAAAGACAGTTAATTGTTAGTAATCCCTTTTAGGTAGCAGGAGTTGTGTTTTCAGAGACTGTAAAATAATCAGTGAAGAAGAGGACAGATATAGGGTGAATGACCTTTGCTCCACTGATGACAGCACCCTGGAGATGAACCAATCTGAGGGTTAGGAGCTCTGGGATCTTTTCGCTTTCCTGGAGACTTTCTGTGAGCATGGATACATGAGACAATGTCATGCAACACAAGCAATCATTTAGCAACAATGCAGAAAAACACATTAACACATTGCTAGCTAAATAGCATTCTAATAAATTGTAGTTTTGTCCTATTCCAGTCTCTGCAGGTTTATTATTTCCTATTTATCAATATGAAAAATCGATAAAAGAAAATCAGTTAAATTAAATTGAGATCTAAATAAAAGGAACAAACTATTAGGCTACCCCTTGGTGGGAAGTGACAAAAGCTTGATCCATGCTAATTAGCCTGGTATTTCACAATCAGTTCTCAACAAACACAGCTTGTGTTACAGAATAATCCTCCAAAATTTGGACATACTGAAGCTTGCCCAAAACTGAGATTAACCCGTTGGTTTACAAATTAAATATTAATGACCAAATAGGCTTCTGTGATTTGAAATACCAGCTTCTGGGTTGTCAAACCTTGACAAACCAGGAGCTGAATATTTAGGTTTTTAGAGCAAACCTTAAGTTCCCACTGACTAATATGACTTGTTTGTTCTTTTTCATTACAGGAAACAATAAAAGAATGATTTAAAATGAGGTTTAGAGAAAATGAAAGGTCAACATTTTTGGAGTCAAGCCTGACTGATCTGAGTTGTGTTTGATTCTTGAGGTATATGAGGTCTGACAGAGATCAGAGTGGTGAAGGGAGTGTCTCACCATGGAAGAGAGCAGGCAACTCCTCTGGCAGGGTGAGCGGGGAGAACTTATACTTGTTCCTCTCCAGCAAGCTCACCTCCTCCCTAAAACACACAAAGCCCAAAGGTTGGGCAAGATGTTAAATGCATAACATAGTCTGTCAGTCTTTGTGGTTATTTTCCACCTCCCACACATTCACGCAGGCGATCTGCAGGGTTAAGCAGCACACACTCACCCTTCCAGGTGTCTCCTCCACGTCTGATAAGGGTCAAATAGACTCTCACATAGCACAAGTCCGTACTGCACAACCAGCTCCAACGACGACTGCTCCCCTTGTCCCTTTTTTAGCTGAGGAACAAAATCAAAGTTTGGAACACGTTCATTCAGCACAGATTCAGCTGGTTTTAATATTCAACAAAAACAAATATTGTGAGAAGAAAGGTCAGCTACACAACTAGCTCTCAGTTAAAAGTACTTAGGATGACACAAACTATAAGCATATATACTGTGTAAAACATGTCTGCATAGTTTGGCTAAAATGGAACAAGATAATCTTTGCACTGAGAAAGCTGTGGAGCCGAACACAAACACGAATCACTAAGCTCTGTGTTTGGTATTAGCTTCAATTTATAATGACCTTACCTGGTCCAAACAGAAATTCAGAAGCTTAATGGTTTCAAAAACAAAACCAGGGGTCTTGTCTGTCTCAATGTTCTCCATGTTCCTAGAGACGGAGAAAAAAAAAGTCATGAATTTCAGGGTTCAGAAAATATGCAGGATGACCTTCTTGGGAAGAAAACAGAACACATAAATCTCATTAATGCACAGAAAGCACAGGACAACTTCACGAGAAAGCCTTGCAAGCACAATTTAGTCATCACATATTTAACTTCTGAAAATTAAAAAAAAAAAAAAAAAAAACTATTTTAAGAATGTTTCCTATTAAACGACTAAAATATCTAGCACAGAAGAAGACAAATAGACCCAGTTTGGACATTATGTCAACAAAATGTGTATTCAGAAACCTCCTTAATATTGTTTATTTCTTATTTAGCCACATTATGAAAACTTTTACATATTGTGTAATTGATTTAGGATTATTGTTATTCTTAGCACAAGTAGCAGTAGTAGTAGTAGTAGTAGATGCATTCATAAAAATATTGGTATTATCATTATATTATCATTATTATCATCATTATTATCATTATCATTGGTATAATTTAAGAAGAATTACTACATGTTTCAGCTGGAGATTTGGTACTTCATCTACTTCTACTTAACAACAATTATCTGCTGGTTATTGTGATGGTAACATCATCTATACTTTATTTCTATCTATGGTTACAGTTAAGTGTATTTGCAGCACCTGGGCCCTCACCTGCACACAATGATGAAGAACTTGATGAGGAGCAGGGGGTGAGGGGTGCTGCTGTTTTGCTCGGTGCCGGCGGTGAGGTGTACCGCGCTGTGCCATAGCTGGGTACTGAGGAACACCAGGACCTCCCTGGGGAGCAGGGGCACCTCGGCGCTGCACTCCTCCAGCCTGGGATGACAGAGTGGAGGAGGAGGAGGAGGAGGAGGAGGAGGGAGAGACGGGAAGATGGAGGAGGGGAGCCAGTAGCAAAGAGGTAGAGCGTTGTAATAGGGACTGCATATACACATAACATAAACATGCCAAAATGGTATCTCCACAGGAGGTCAAAAGTCCTCCCGCTTTAGGGAATGAAAGCTGGTGGGAGCCTCTTGCTATGTGGTGTTTGTAAAATAAATAACTGTTTCTACTAACCTCCGTGGCTCCAGTGATTGCACATCAATGAGTTTCTCAAAGGACGACACGAATGCCTCCAGCCACTGCTGCAGATAACCCACATCTTTCTGTGTGGGGGGGGGGAAAGAACACGTACATTCAAAACTCCTTCTTTGTGCACAGTGTTAGTTAACTTTACTTAAGGAAAAACAATGTGTTCCTGTGAACATGACCTTTGGTTGAGCTAAGTTCTTGTAAAAGTATCTAAAAAGGCTGAGCATTTTACTGTGACACACTGTGGCTTAAAAAACATTGCAACAACTAAACCATGTGATCTGTTTTTTTGAAACAGGATGTTGCATAGAGATGTAACATACAGAGAGGAACACATGAGCCAAAAAACAGGTAGGTTAAAATCTACATATTCCCTTTTTTTTTTTAACCTACATTTCATTTTAAAATTCAAAATCAAGTTCTACAACTTTGTATGCAGCACACAAGAAAAAAAGAAAGTATAAGACATCCCTGCATTACAGGATGCTTTATAAAATGATTTAAGAGAGTTTCAATTGTGCGAGGATGTTTACATACAACAGCCATTATCTCGGCTGAAATCAGCCTCCACAGAGCAACATATCCTGCCACTCTTCCCCCTTTACGTCACTCTCTCTACCTCACATAGACTAAAGAACAAGATTAAATAACATAGGTCACCCCCAGAGAAACAGCTCTTAACTTAATTCCTTTCCCCCCCTCAAAACATTCCTTTTAAATAAAGCCAAAAATAATTTTGATGGCCCCTGATTATTCAAGTAGTGCCAAACACCGGACATTTAGAACTGCTCCTTCATGTTCTCTGTGATGGAAGAAGTTGAATATTTACATTCGCAGTGTGCTAAAAGCAGTTGTTTCTGATTTTGCCACACAGCTTGGTAAAGCAGACACTTTGACGGAGGACACGAGTTGTTCCAGACTGACTGACTCATTACACACAAATAACATCCAGCAGCGTAAACAGCACATGGTACAACAATTGGTCAGGTACTTCCCTTCTGCAAAAAAATGAGCGACAAATGGGGTGATGCAGTTGATGTACATAGGTAACTTTCAAAGCTGCACAGGGACAAACAATGCAAGCACAGAACTTTAACATGCATACTGTAACTTCATGCTGCAGCTCATTGCATGTCTAACGTGAAGCTAATTGTAACAGTCCCTGCACTTGGAGAATTTGAAATGTAATGCAGTAAGTTAACTCTAAAAATGCTGTGTAGTACAACCATGTTTTCTCTAATCCTGCATTAAATGTTAAATGTACATTACCAACTGGCAATGACTTGTGGACCAGTCCATCTCTCATTGTACGAGGCTGAGCAGGGTACCAGGCTCCTGTGAACCTGGTCTCAGATGAAAGGTTCTGCGTTGTTTCTCAACCAGCAACTCAGGAGCTGCACCTCAGCCTCTGCTCTGACACGCTCCTTTCTTGTCTTCCAACACCAAGTGAGCAACCAGGAAATGACATGTCACTTTAACAGAAGTTTATTTCCTTCATACTAGGCCTCCACGTCAAACCCTTTCCTCCTTTGGTTCCACTGCAAGTTTTCAGCAGACATAAAAGAGGCCTTTATAAAAACTTCCCACACCAAGAAAAAACAGAAGCAACAGATAGATGTTGCAGGGGAAATAATACAATTCTTTTTTTCTATGTCAGTCCATGATTCACTGACTAACTTTAGAGAATACAATAGGACTACAAATGAATGTGGCTGCCGCTGATGCATTAAAGTAGGAGGAAGGGGACATGTATATTATTAAAAATAAACAATAGAATGACAGTCATCACACACTTGCTGTGAGAAATCTATGCATGTTTTTGTCCATGCAAAATGTCAGGGACATCCAATGTCTCTGAAAAGCCCATATTTGAGAATGAGTACAAAAAGCGGGTGAAGTGGTAGATCCAAAGGACCGTGGCCACGGATTGCCATGGCCACCCTGGAAATTGGATTTGCCACCACAGAAGCCACTCCAAAATCCAAACAATGATGGACTATGTGTCGTTTCAGAGACAGTGCTCGTGTTAAAATCTTCAGGCCAGCCCTGCAAGTCAGAAACCAAGTTGGGCAACCCCAGTCAAAAGAAGTCTGGCTCTGCCACTGATGAGGATTGACAAAAAAAATGTTGTTTTTGCTACGCCCTTTAAGCTTTGTTTTACTGTCCTTTATAATATAAGATAGCTGAATGACTGGAACCTCCCAAACATTACTGAAGATAACAACAGCTTTATATGATGACACTAAGCGTGCCATGATGTTGTAGATGATGATGCCCGCAGTTAGGTCATTACATCTGTCTACTGAAGTTCACGATGTACGAGGAAACACATTAATGAGGGTTAATTAAGCGACACATACTGGAATTTACAACTATGTGTGACGACAGCCTTTAGATTTAAACCAAGCATGACTCAATGAAGCCAGTGTACTCCCTTTTACGTTTTTTTTGTGGAATAGGAAGTGGAATCTTTCTGTTCCTTGTCGAGAAAAAAAGTCAGGTATGAAAAAATGTTATGAAAAAAAAGAGTGAGATCACAAATGGGAAGTGAATCTTGGGAAGTGTATCTGCACTCAAATTAGTTGCGACACCTGGTATACCCTGCTTTAAGTCTGTCCTTCGAACATCATTTTAAAAACTAGAATTACACTTTCAGACACATTCTTTGCACAACTTTTCCCTCAACATCACTGAAGGATTTCTTAAAAAAAAAAAAAAAAAAAGATAAAGCACTAGATAACACTAGATAAGAACAGATGTCAAACCAACCGTGAGGCGCTGATCTCTATAAACTGTGTCATTTATCTCTGTTCTCTCTGCACATGGCCAGGCAGCTGTGCCGCTCTCTACTGCTTGGCATTCTGCTTTGCTCCAGCTTCCTGCACAAGTGAAAGCAAAGAGCACTTTGATTTTTCCTGGTTGGCCCTTCTGTTGGTAAACAGGGGAGATGGAGGCGCACCAGGGAATTCAATCACGGGGCTCATAGGAGAGTCACAGAGAGATGACGGGATGATGTTGTTGTCATTACATCTTCTCAGTGCAGATTATGAAAATCAAATGAATCATAGCATGAGCGTAATTGAGACACATAAACAGCACAGTGCCTGATGGAATGGAAACAAAAAGGAGCTAAATGTGACTTGTTCTGACTCTAATGCAAGCAGAAGAGTTGGTTTTACAGCTGTGTGTATGGGTGGCAGTGAGGTTGTCACTGTGGTCCGTTTCTTCCTCTATAAGCTCAAATTAGTGGCTCCAACAGTCTCTCAAGCTAATGATCACAGTTTATTTCCCTGCCAGCCTGACAGACCGCTGAATAAACACTGTAGTTAAGCAGCTGAGAGAGATGCTTCTTTTATTCTCACTTTCATCCTGAACCATGACATCCAGGAGATTTGCTCAAGTGTTTTGGCTCAGTTTTCACAGCACAGTCGACTCTGTGTTTTGAGCAAATGTGCCAAGTGTACATTCCAGCTTTGTCATTATAAGAGGTCAATCATGGTCACTTAAAAACTATAAAATCAGTAAAAAGGCCAAGGTTGATGTTTTTAACTAGCTTGTTTTGTCTGACTAAATGTGCTAATTTTTCCGTTTCACAAAACTTTCAAAAATGTAGAAAAGTCTCTAAATTAAGAAGCTGAAACCATGGTGTTGTTTGATCTATTTTTTGGCTGAAAATGTACTTCAAATGTTCAATAGGCTAGCAAAGTTTTTCAATGTTGACAAATGTTTATTTTGTTCATTAAACTGTTTAAACTGGATTTGACTGGTTTTGTTTGAGTTTGTTCATCTCTCATTCACTTCTCTAAATGGAGTATTAGTGGATTGTAATTTTAGGACATTGGGCTTCTATAACTTGTTGACAACATTTGCCATTTGCCAAGTCAAACGTTTAGATTGTAATCAACTATTAAATAGCTGTAATCATTTCTGAATTGATTGTCAAAGTGAAGACCTGCTGCAGCTCCATGCTTGTGATATGAAGAACTGATGAAAATATATGCAAAGTTCAGTCTATCTGTATGAATGTTTTATCAGAAAAGGTCTAAAAAACTTTCTCCATATCTCAGATGTGAGATATGGAGGCAGAAAGATGAATTTAAAGAGCAGCAGAAACAAAAGACAGCCTTGATGTTTTCTTGCTCTGAGCAGTGCTTGGATTTATGTACTCTCAAAGTGAGTTACATACTGAGTGACTTAACATTATATGTTTAGCATTTCAACACAGGTGCTTATAGATCTATGTGATGAAATAAATGCATATCTGTAGAAATAGAATATCACATATGCTGCTGTTTTGATGAAATCAAATAATCTATTCGCTGGTCTAACCAAATAGGGACAATTCTCCATTTCTCTATCCCTGCCGGCCTGTTGGACTGGTCATTTGAACAGAAAATGTCTCGCTTTTGTCTGACAATGGCTTTAAAGCATCATACACCAGTCCTGAACCTCAGCAGATCTAAGAATCTTGCACGAGGTGTGTGATTTCTTGCACAATAAGAGGAAGCTGAGCTCTTTTATCACTGGCAAGCCTGAGCAAGTTTTGCTTTCTTGCTGCAAGAACGATTGCTGAGATATGTTATGTACCACAAACATGTTGGAATCAGTTGTTAGGATTCATCATTACACTGTAAACTCACGTGTATATAAAAAAGGATATTTACAGGATTTTGCACTGATACTGTGAGGTTAAAGATTCTGGGAAAAAAATTGAAATAGCCATCAACAGTAATGAAAAAGTCTGATGATAAACTATAACCAGTCGAGACACTCAAGACTGAAATATTTACAGACTTCAATTCAGATGTGCTGGTTGTTAAGACAGCTGCCTGGGTGTGTTAGTTGTGAGTCAAGCCGAAGGAGTCAGGCCTTTGCCACAAGTAAGTAAAGGCTTGCTTAAAGCACTAACAAAAAGCTGATTAAAAAAAGCTCACGTCTTTGCTCGAGTTTGACTCTTTTGGAATCCAAAAACTTGATACATGATGCAGGGTCAGAAAAACCTGTGAGTCCAAGATGTGATGTGAGAAGTTAAAAAAAGGTTACTGTTTGTCAACTTGACTAACAGGCACACAGTGGCATGTTGATGTGTATAGGAGAGGCAGGTTATTGTTCTCTGAAGTGGTTCTGCTGCCTTTTGTGCTCCTCTGAGTCACATCAGGTGGTGACGTTTAATACTAGGCTCAATTCAATCCCTTCCCTCTGCAATCCTTCATCGCTGCTTGGCAATTCGGGCAGGTCATTTGCACACAGGCAAATTCTCCTCGCAATTAAATTTGGAAATCGGTTTGCTAGTCTTTGCTGGGAAATGTGTAGAAATTTGTTTCTTACGTTTTGAGCGTAAAAACTAAGAGTCATTAGGAAGCTTGATGACGAAGTGCTCTCACACGTGGAGATGCTTGACAGCTGTCACAGTCAGATTTAAAACACACACACTCCTAAACACACACACTCAAAGTCCCTTTCTAGCTGTAGATACAATTAGTTTTGTTATTTACCAAAAGACTTTAGCAAAAGCATGAAGGTCAAGGTCTTCAACAACCGTTTATGCAGCGACAGCATCCCAGAGGTAAAGTAACAGGGTCAGACCATTAACCACAATGACTGCAGTGATGGTAAATGCTCTAAGATGTGATACTCTTATTGTTCACTTGTGTCACTGTTGCACTAATGGCATTTCTGCAGGAATTTAAGCATTTCCCCCAGCCCTGTTTTTAGTATTTTGTAAAGTTTTTCGATGGTTAATAATCTTAATTTGAATTAAAACATAATCAAATACAGATATGTGATGAAATATGTCCTAATAACATATTCTTGGTAAATCCAACACTGTTCATCTTCAGAAAGACTTTATGTCTTCATGTCTTTATGCCACACAGTGAACACGGCGCATGCAACGTTGGAAAGACATCATCTTGTCTTGTTTTCTCTGTCCTCAGGCATGGAAGCAGATTGCACACACATTAAATAGTAATACTTAATTTATTCTCAGACATCATTCCATCCTTCTTGATGAGGCAAACATAACCTTAAACCCTTTCATAATGAATTTGTTTAATGGTTATTACCAAGATATTGAGCCTTCATGAATAGTAAAATACATGAGATGCAATCACAACCACAAAGGAGTCATGTTTAAGACCTAAATACTGACAAAGCAATTTGATAATTAGATTAGAATATGAACTAATTAGGTTTGGTTTTAACACCACAGAGAAATGTGTTGTTGTTTTTCGTTTATTATTAGTTTGAACTAATATGAGTTGTGCTTTAAGTAATTAAAAAGGTTCAGGGTGGTAAGAGGGAAAATAATTCCTTTCTAAATGCAAAACCGGCTCTATGACAATATTAACCCTATCATGGTTTAAATGTGAGTCGCTTTAATCAGGAAGAGCGACATAGAGGAACAGGAAGTAGCTTCAACACCACCTGCATCGCAGGTATAGTATCAAACACACTCCAATAAGTGTGTAACTAAGCCCTAACCACCGATATTGATTAAATATTTCCGTTCAGTGAAGAATTGACTAAGTGACACGTTCTACGTATAATAGGATATGACACCCTAGCACGCGCAGATCACTCTCCACCATAAGGTAGCCTAAATAAACAGCTCGTGCACAAACAGGAAAAAATAACCTACTTCCTCGTTAACCGTTTCAAACAAACGCCACAGGATTCAGTACAGTCCACACCGACCTTTGTCATGAGTTTATCGCCTCATGTTATAAACTTCAGACAGAGGACCTGCTGCCACAACAGGTGTCACCGTCAGCCCTCAACTCTTCCGCACTCACCTTTGTGTAGTATAACATCCACAGCTCGTACAGCCTCTCCTTCGATGCCATCCCACCACCCTTGTGGTTGCTCATTATCTCCCTTAGTATGTCTTAATAAATCATGAAACTGGTTAGCGTGAAAGCCAGCTGAAGTTGTTTCCTAAAGGCAGCAGGAGGAGGAAGAGGAGGACGCGGCACGCTCCCATGAACCATTCCTGCAAATAATCCACACAAAAGTGTTTTCTGTCGCCACACGCAAACTTATTAGAAAGGCGTGAAAAAAGCAAAACATGCCGATGAGACTGTGGCAACGTTGCGATTACTGTCGGAATTGTAAAACCAGGAAAAGAAATGCGTGGAAATGCATGTCTGGAGAAACACCCATGTCCGCGTTTACAGGGAGCTCGAAGCTGACTGATTCCTATTGGAGAGAGTTCCCACGGAAGCGACACATGCCATCCGCTCAGAAAGCAAGAAGTGACTGCGCTGCTCACATTCTCAAAGTGGAGGTGTGCTGTCAGTGTGCGTGTCACTAATCATCCACTAGTGTCTGGCTGTGTTACAAGGCAAGGAACGGGAGTTGATTGTAGATCATGCTCACAGGTAGGCTGGTATTCTTAAAGATACACACACACACACACACACACGCACACGCACACACAGACACACACACACACACACACACACACACACACACACACAGACACACAAATGCCGGTGTCTAACAAAGCAAAGATGATCTTTGTGGATTCATTAAAAAGGTAGACATCATACAGGCTTTTACTTTATTATAGGCCTAATAACAAAAATAAGTTGCTGAACACTACATAGGCATAACTGGTCATAGTTTACTGGTGTTTCATTTCTGTAGAGGGTGAAGCTCTCACTTTGCAAAGCCAGCAACATTCAGCTTTAATAAGATGAAGGAAGAGAACTCAACTTCAGAATCTAACAGATAGGCGACACTGAAAAACTAACACTGCTTGCAAGATGAGTTGGGTTAATGTGCCCATCTTTTAAATGTTTCAATGTCAAACATCTTGTAAAGTGTAATTCGCTCTCAATTAACTCTCAAGCTGATGCCAAATGATGTGTCTACTACCACTGATGGTTCACTTTATTGACAGCTTGATAGGTTATGTAGCAGTGTAGGCTTTATATAAAGATCTACAAACTAATGAATGACTTATCTGTGATTTCTCTTTGTAGTTTATGATCTGTTAACCTTTTGAACATCTTCAATAAAACCAGGTTGATGTGATTCCACGTAAAATTGGTCAGTAATGACAAAGGATAATTCGAGGCAGCTGTATTACCATGGCAATGGCCTACATTCCTAATCAGGACCTGACAGTGGGACTATCAACAGGCGGGCATTGTGCAAGTCTGTATGTATTCCCCATGATGTAAAGGTCAGTTATTAGACCATAAGTAGGTCTGAATAGGCCAATCAGATCAATTAGTCAGTCAAAAAAAAAACAACAACAACAACAACCTTAAACAACCAAAGGTAAAATATACTGTTGCAGTCAATCACATACAAATAAGTTTGTAGCTCAGAATGTGGAAGATCAAATTTTACAGAGTAGGAATTTAATTTTAAATAACAATGCTTAAAATTAAATAAAGCTTTATAAATGATTTTCAACTAATTGTAAACAAAACACAATAATATCACATGATCAGGAAACAGGCCAATGCAATCGATGTGCTCGACAGTCGTTTTTACTCCCTCAGTTAGGACGGGTAATGGATCGCAGAGAGAAGTGAGCGGCGTGTGGTTTAGACTAAACATGGAGAGAAATGTTGGTTCACTGCAGGAGCAGGCTCTGAAGAGAAAGGAGAGACTAAAGGCACTTAGAGAAAAACAACTCCACGTAAGTTCCTTGTCTGTGTACGTGTGGTTTGAAGTAAATTAAAACTAATAACAAGTAGCAAACGTTGTGTTTGTGAGGCGACGTCAGCTAGCTTAGCTGGTTGCTAACGTTAGCAAAGTAGTGGAGTTAGATAAATAATCAAAACATTTGTTCGTGGCTTGTTGTTTTTTTTGCTGCTGGATGATTACCGTATGTCTCGATGTGGGAAAAGACAAAGTTAAGATCAAGATACGTTTTGTTTCTGTGCTTTTATAGGTTATCCGGGTTTCTTGTGTTTCTTAATACAAATGATTTCTTCATCTTCTTTCTACAACACACCTGTGATCTCTGCTGCATCCATTTCAAGTTTTTATAAACATGTGTCTCTTTTTTTTAGTATTTAATGACTCAAAAACTTTTCATATATATGGTAACCTCTGTTTGTAAAAGTCTTAGACTATAACAGAGTATGTGGAAACGATTTTCTTTTGGGGAAATAAGGGAATAAACACAAAAATCAAATCAAACCCAAATTTGTTTGGATGTGTTTCAACTTGTGAACCATATACTAATTGTATCTATACATATATAATACAGTTCAGTATAAACTCTATAAAACAATGATGATCTAGATCAGGGGTGGGCAGCTGGCAGCCCGTAACCCTCAATTTTAACATATCAATTAATTGAAAACATGAAGAAAACATGACAAAATCTGCCATGAAATCATGAAAACCAGAAATATGTCTGTAATCGTTTTTTGTATTCCTCCTCTGGCAGTGAGAATTAAATGAATGTGGCCCCTTGCTGTGACCAAAGTTGCCCATCCCTGATCTAGAGCTAAACTCAGTAAAGCGCTCACACTCGATTATAGTCACAAAAAAGAGCATGAATTGTACAAGAGTCTACAAAGTACAACTGACTTTATTCATTATTGATCAACTTTAAGAAAAGAAAAGAAGAATCATTAATCATTGTGGTCAACATCTGTTTTAGCCAATTACTTTCAATCAACTCACAGAATAATTTTGAATATAACGCTCTGTGTAAAATGTACTTGATTCAAACTTTAAAAATCACAGGTTAGTTAAAGGATAGTCTCAGTTTCTCCTTAGCGCTTACTCGTGCTGCTCAATAATAATAATAATAAATAATAATACATTTATTTATAAAGCGCTTTAAATCAAAGTGCTGTACCAAGCAATAGAGTTAAAATACAGGAAAAACATACAGAGAAATCATGCCTCATACTCAACAGTAAACAGATGGGTCTGTAACTTTGCTTTAAAAACCTCAACAGAACAAGCCTGCCTGATGTCCAGAGGTAAACTGTTCCAAAGTGTCGGTGCACGGAAAGAAAAAGCCCGCTCACCAACTGTCTTCTTGACGATGATGGAAATAATGCTGATCATGATTATTATGATTGATATTGAGATCACAATTACGAAAAAGTGATTACTCATTGATATTTCAACATCTGGATCAAATGCATTTACCGAACTTGGACACACTTAACACTTCATAAAAACAAACAATAGATGAAAATATATAATAGATAATTAGATAAATATGTGAAAATAATAAAATAGATTTTTTTTTTTTTAAATGTCGGTTTTTGAGGTATTGGTTATGTTCTCTTGTGGCCAAAATATACCAACAAACACTTTTATACATTTGCTACAAATGATGAAGCCTTCAGACAAAAACGAGCGCAACACAGCATGCGGCACAAAAATCATTTAAACTTGATTTTTTTTTTCTTACAAGAGAAAAAACCCAAGAAGATGTATGAAAACTGAGAATCATGGAAATCTGTTCCTAGTCAACATTGCCCACTGTAATTTATAGTCATAATTCCACATAGATGCACACCTTTAGCTTGGACCCCTATAAAGTTGTGCACAGTTTAGTATTTTTGCAGCAGAGTTTCAGCTGTTTCTCAATAGAGCCTCTCTCTGTGTCGTGCAACATTAAACATTACAGTCATTGTGCCCCAGTCGTAGTGCATAAAATCTTTGTTCAACAGGAAGCCTGTTCGACGAGCACATCTCTGTTTTTACGAAGCTGGTGTTAAACACAGACAAACTGGCTTTGCTAACCATTTTTGATAAACGACTGTTGACATTCCTGAAGCCCTGGGTTGTTTCCCTTTTGTTCCACGCTTCAGAGTGAGTCAGTCGACTGAATTGTTCTAGCAGGTGGACAGGAAGCCTCTTCAGGAAAATGCAAGATGGGAGGGGTTCGATTTTCATTGTTTTTGAATTTCTACAAGGCTATTTCATAATGAGTTTGCTCCATTGCTGAGGTGAGAATAGTTTAGTGAAAGTTTAAGTCTGAAATGGTTGGTTGTTGTTACAGACAGTTAGTCATGGAGCTATTTTTTTAGTAATACAGCTAAAGCACATTTTGATTGTGTTTTTCTTATTTAAATGTTTGTCTTGTGCATAAACTTTTACTGTCCCATTCTCTGAAATGGGCTCATGCACAGGTTCACATTTCAAAACTGTTTTCAGTGTTTTTGCCTTTGTCGTGTTTCAATTTCAGTGTTCATGTAAAGATTCAGTAAGTCATCATAACAGAACACAAAACTGTGTGGTCAACAAGTTATTTTGTGATGTCTTGACAGGGGCAAGACGAGGATGGGGAACCAGAAAGGAAAAAGGCTTCACTGGAGGAGGAGACTTCAGAGAGGCACAGGTTTGTTCACCACACACAAAAAAAATGTCTTACTACCTTCAATAATCACTCACTGTTCTTCCCCCTTACAGAAACAGAACTGCAACTGATCTGGAAGCACATCATCACAATATTTATCTGGACACCATCTTGTTGTAGAACAGTGCCTGTCTCAGTTCAGGTTGTGACACTGTGTGAGTGTTTACACTGTGCTGGATCACAGCCCTGTGTTAATAGCTGCTCAAATATCCTACAGTTCACTCAACTTTGTGTGTTAGTCAGTAGGAAGGAGCAGCCATCTTTCCTGTCCTACAGGACCTTTCTTTCCATTGTTTATATTTAATGACTTTGAACTGACTGAGGGAGTGCCACTGTTTTTCCTCCAGTCCAACAGGACAGATCTCTCTCATGAGCTCCAAAATAGATTCAGAGTTTCAAGGCCTCATTTAGACATTTGTCAGTGAAGATAAAGGTCAGTGTTGATGACTGTACTTTTTATTTAGTCTGTGGTCTGTTCAGTCAAGACACACATTTGTAGCAGGGTGTGAGTGTCGAGTGTCTTGTGAAGGATATTAAAATTTCATGGGTGATCAAATTGCCAAACGAAGGCGTGAGGCAAAACAACAATCAACGTATTTTCCTTTCAGTAGCTTCAGTTCAAATGACAGATTCACAGGATGAAGATGTCAAAACAGTAAAAAAAAAAAAAAACCGGGGCAGCCGCACTTTTCTTAAAGCATATTCCAAAAACATGCACCAAACACACCATGATGCTCTCCCTGTACACATCTTTATATCTGTTTCTTATGGCTGCTGTCTTTTATTAGACACTAAGGAAAGTTTTTGTTTTTATTTATTTGTAAGGGGAAGTAACAAGTGAAATACTGACCTATTGAATGTTATCTTTAGCGATCTCTGTGACCCGTGTAAAGGTTGATCGTTGTCTGAAGTTATTTTTG